CCGCCAGCTGTTTTTATTTTCTACATACTTTAAGAATATAATACAAACGCAGATTAACATTTATCTGATCATTCTCATCAAAATTACCGAGTAAATGCTATTAAAGATGTGCAAACTAGTGTTTTTAAACTTGTGTCTAGGTTTTTGGAAAAAATGTGTGTCAAAAAGTGGTACAATTTAATTTAGCAACTATGGAATCAATTACTCTGAAACTTTGCACCCATTCATACCTTCTAAAAACATGATGACGTCACCTCAAAATTTGTTATTGAACACTATATCAATACTTTTTACAGTCATTTGTACAGGATGTTCCAAAAAAATAATTAATGAAGTGATTCGTTTTATTAATTAAATAAAAGACCTAAGTTTCACGAAACTCTAGATATACAATGCTGTTGTAATTAGCATTGAATGGTGTGTGTCAAAATTGATATTTATCCCCGTCGAAAAGTTGATGACGTCACCGCAATATTTTACACGGTGCTATAATACTTATGTAATTATTCATCCATATTTTAAAAATCTGTTTAAATAACTACAGAGCTTTTTTTGCATAGAAAAAAACAAAAATACATATTGTGTTACGGTTAAAAAATGCAGTATAATAAGTAATTTTTTTTAGTCCCAAAAATTTTACAATTCATAGACACGTCAAAGAAGAATAGAAGATTTTTAAATTAAGAAACCTAAGTCAGGTCAATTGAAGTCAGGTCAATTCAAGTCAGTTCAGCTCAAGTCAGGTTAGTTCAAGTCAGCTCATGTCAAGTCAGGTCATGTCAGGTTTTTTCTCATGCAGATTCTGTTTGGCAATATTTTGATAGGAAAACTTAATTGGTTCCAAAAATTTTGGGAAATTAGGTAAACTTTTGCTGATTTAACTGACAAAATTAACAGATCCATTCATTAATTTTTCAAAAATCCTGTATAATAGAGTTGGAAATTAAATCCGCAGAGATGATGTTTTTTTTTAACATATTTAATGATTTTTTTTTATTAGAACCAATCAAAACACGGTAAAAGCATTTATCAGACAACGAAAAAAAAATTCACACCGTCTCCAAATATTAATTAAAGAAATTAAAAATTACTGGACCAGTATTATTACAATGCATATTTCAATATGGTCCAAAATAGCCAAAATTAGGGGAAAAGTGCCTAAAATGATCCCCTCAGGTCAAATGATCCCCATCAATTGTAAGAAAATTTGTGGCTCCATCTACCAAACATAACTGTCATTTGATTAAGCGCTCTGTAATTAGTACCTTCTGAAAGTTTGATGGCGTTCTGTGTATTCTGCACAGTTTTGTGCCAAAATATGTAAAATAAGCACCTCTGATCTAAGGTAAGATATACTTTAAAAGTCCATTACTTCCATTTGAAAGGTCTTATAGCGGTGGTAGTTGTTTTGACAGAATTAGATACATTTCAGTCATAGGTTAGTTATGATCTTTTTACCGCATGTAAAAATTGAAGGTTAGTTTACAATTTTTGAATGCGGATATGCTACCTAAGGCGAAATGATCCCTTTTTCTTGAGGCAAAATGATCCCGGATCATTGGGCGGGGCTAGTACCTGCTAAGATAAGACTGATTTTTGCAAATCATATACCCTCTAAGAAAAGAGAGGGTGGGTGGGCGGGGCTAGTACCTGCTAAGATAAGACTGATTTTTGCAGATAACATATCCTCTAACCCCGCCCACCTACTCTTTATTTTCTTTGAGGGAATACCATTTGCCAATATCAGTTTTATCTTAGCAAGTACTAACCCCACCCACCCGCCCCTTATTTTCTTAGAATGTATGTTATTTGCCAATATCAGCCTTATCTTGCCAAGCACTAGCTCGGCCCATCCGCCCTTTATCTTGTTAGAGGGCTAGTACCTAATAAGATAAGACTGACTTTCGCAAATGACATATCCTCCAAGAAAAGAGAGGGTGGGTGGGCGGGGCTACTACCTGCTAAGATAATACTGATTTTTGCAGATGACATATCCTCTAACCCCGCCCACCCACCCTTTAGTTTCTTCGAGGGAATACCATTTGCCAATACCAGTTTTATCTTAGCAGTTACTAGCCCCACCCACCTACTATCTGCTAAAATAAAACTGATTTGCGCAAATGAAATACCCTCTAAGAGAGGAGAGGGAGGGTGGGTGGAGCTAGTACCTCTTAAGACGGGGAAATTTAAATAATTTAAAAGAATTTTAGGGATTTTCGTGTTCTATTTTTGGGAAATTCTCAGTCTTAAGAGGTACTAATCCCAGTCACCCGGCGTCACTTTTCTTAAAGGGTATCTCATTTGCCAAAATCAGTTTTATATTAGCAAGTATTAGTCCCACCCACCCACCCTCTATTTTCTTAGAGGGTATATCATTTGCCAAATTCAGTTTTATCTTAGCAAGTAGTAGGCCCGCCCACCCGCCCTCTCTTTTCTTGGAGGGTATCCCATTTGGCAAAATTAGTCTTATCTTAGCACGTACTGATGACTAAAGTATTGTCTCAAACTCTTCCAGAAATTATACACCCCGTATTTTCGGTGCTTTTCAAACTTTTTTTGTTTATTTTTTTTAAGAATTAATTTTTTTGTTAATTTTTGAAATAAAATATTTATCAGTTATGTCATGATTTGATTTTTCTTGTTGATGCTGCCCCCTTATGGTCAAAATTCAAAGGGATCATTATGCCCATGCCGAGGGATCATTTTACCTATGGGGATGCCTAAAATGATCCTTTTGTAAGGTCCTGGAAAAACGTTAATAACCTTTTTATAATTATCGAATCACCAACTGGCTTATACTGTTACCTAGATAAATCAATGTTCTTACAAATAATGGTACAGTTTTACATGAATAATAATAATTTGTATTTTTTAAAGAATTTCTCCCTTAGGGGGATCATTTTAGGCACCTTTCCCCTAATTTGCATTAACAAAACTCATTACTCTAGAGTGATACATTTGAAACTGAAACACCAGGCTTAAATTTAGAAAAACGTAACATTTTTTATTCAATTTCTTTAGTAAAATTGAATTCGTTTCTATTATTATATATTAATGCAATGAAATAATACGAATGTTTTAAGTTTTATGTTGTGAAAAGAAGTCTAAACATTTTAAAACCAAACGGCAAAATGTAAGCCCGCCCACCCGCCCTATCTCAATTGTAATGATTTTTTTTATTCGCCTTGTGGACCAAGGGGGTGGAGCTTAACTGCAAAAACTTCATTCTTTACAAGAAATTAAAAATACGTTTTTGAGTATGGTGTTGTTCAAATAATACTACATATATATAGTAAGAAGAAAAGGCAAAATATAAACCCCACCCACCCGCTCCACTCAATTGTGATGATATTTTATTTCTTACAAACTGAAAACACGTTTAAAATGATAAATTTTTGTAGGGAAATATGGATTTTGCAATTAGGCTCCGCCCCTAATAGGTCTGGCAACGAATGAAAACTTCATTACTACATATTTAGGTCAGGGCGGGATAGGTGCGGCTTAAGCTTTGTCTTTAATTTTTCCACGATACTCAAAAACATGCTTTTAATATCTCGTATAGAAATAAGGGTTTTGCAGTTAAGTTCCGCCCTCTTGGCTCACGACGAATAAAAATAATTATCACAATTGAGATAGGGCGGGTGGGCGGGGTTTACATTTTACCCTTTTTTTCTTAATATGTGTAGACTTATATCGACAACAAGGAAACTTAAAAGTTGCCTAAAATGGTAGATTTTTCTAGTAATCAACTTAAATCCGTCACTTTTCCTCTACAATCCCTTTGTTCTTTAAAGACGATTTGACTTTGACCATTTTTAAAAATGGTACGAAATACTAGATGATAAACAATTTTTAAAATACTTTTACACTTTTCAAATTCACTTTACGAAAACCCAACACGAACTAATTGATACAGGAAGAGAACTCGAAAAGAAAGTTGTAGGAGGGCTTGGTGTAATTAACACATCAAAGTTCTCCTATATTATTAAAATTATTTAATCATAAGTAGTATACGTTGCAAAGAATTATGGGATGATCTTTCACCATTATTAAGTAAATTCCAACTGACGTGTATTTGAGTCTTGAACTGATCTGATCTGATCTGATCTGATCTGGCCTGATTTGTCTGTTCTGATTTGACTTACCCTGGCTTGACTTGACTGTTCTATCCTGTACTGACTTGTCTTATCCGGACTTGTCCTGTCCTGCTTGTCTTGTTTTGTCTCGTCCTAATTTGTCACTTTAAAACAGCGTGGTCAGGATAATTTTGTTCTCGACAGTGTTGACATTGATTGCTGTGTCCGACTTGTTCTGACCAAACTTGATTGACCTGATTTTCCTGACCTGACCTGGCTTGACCTGGTTTGACCTGACCTGGCCTGGCCTGACCTGACCTCTTCAGTTCATTTTTTTAAAATATCTTCTATCTATATTTTGAGGAGATTCATAATTTAGAAAGTCGCTGAAGTAATAAATTATTTTCTATACACAGATTCCGCAAAAAGTGTATCTTTCATTTTTGTTTTAATTCCACAAGTAGCAGAATTATATAAATAAAAAACTATCTTGTTTTTATTTCTAAAAAAACCGTATTTGTTTTTTTCGTTTGAAGCGTTTGTTTTCGTCCGAAAAGCTCTTATTCTCGTTCGTCGTCCTTCGACTTCGGGGCTTTTCTCGTGTCGGGCGCCCCCGCCAGCACAATTTGTTATTTGTTGCGTTTAATCCGTCTCCCGAGTCCATCGACGAGGCGGCGAATCTCTCCCGATTCAATCCGGCACTTGCCAAGTCAAAACCGGCAAAACTGCCATAAATAAAGCCCCCCGACGAAGAAAAAGATGAAAAATGGATCGTAGGTAACAGAGGCGTACCGGTAAATTTTTCATAACACAATAAGCGGGTCTTTGGCGTGCGCGGTCGCCTAGGCAGCCCCAAGCCGACCTAGACCTGGTGGGGGAAATCGGGACTTCATTGTTGCCATTTCCGCGGGCTGGAAAGCAAGTTTCCCTAGGAGCAGCTCGAGCGGAGAGATTGCACAGGTGAAACAGTGGGAAAGTGATCAATATAGACGGCATGGAGTGCGGTCGTAGGAGGCTCTGAACGCGGCATTCGAGTCGGAAAAGCGGAAAAGCGTACGTGTGCGATCGCGATGGACTGTGCCAGTGACGAGCTTTCCACACTCCCGGATCCTCCGGTCGCCTCGGGATAGCGACATGCTAGCGCTTCGAGGGAGGTGTGACCGGTTCGAGATCGACTTCCAAGTGCAAACGATGGATTTTTCACGGGGAATGACATGAATTTCGACGACGATTGCCAGGGACATTTTAGATTAATTTTGCGGTTCTACGATCGGGATTTATTTAAAATATGAAATAATGGTAAGTTCATCATGGATAAATCGATCACAGTTTTTATTTTATTATCGTATTTCTAAAATTGAACGATCCTCGAGTCGATGGTCACATTGTTGTTAGAAAAATTTTCGCCCCCTTGAGTGCTTTAAAGTCCCCAGAAAGTTGCACAAAGTGCTCGCTTTCAAGTTCCGAATTTTCCGTGCCCCTGCATGCCCAATTCTTCGATTTTGTGGTGTGGTTTGTTTAAAATATGAAATAGGTGTAACTGGAAGTGGCTTTGGCCGGAGTGTCGTTAAGTGGAAAATGGGAAATCAATGTGACGAATTAGTTTTTTGAGGGCAAACTTATAATAGCCGATACTTCACGTTGTAGGTATTAGCGATTGGAAAAGCACAACATTGGTTGTAGGTAATTGCCCGAAAAAAACCCTTAATGGTGTATTTTTATATTCAAAACATTACTCACCGTGTAATTCCATTATCACACAGATATTTACGAGAACGTTTTTAACGAAAAAAGCGTACTTTACGTTTTCGCCCACTTTTAAGAGTAAATAAATGCTTCGTTCTGTTCCGTTTTTAGCAAATATTGTTAATGACAAACAACTTCAAAAGAGTAAAAACTGTTTAAATCAAACATAAACAATTTATTGCTGTTTACAGTTTTTTCTTTGAATGTCTGTCGCTTCACTGGAAATTTAAATTTAGCCAGATTTGCCGCTCGCCTTCACTATATACATCACTACGCAGCTTAAAAAGACGTAGTCCGCTTGACAACCTCACTATATTTAAGTGAAATTTGAACAAGGCGGCAAAAGTCAACGCCCACTTCATATTATAATCATTATTGGAAGATGTATTCCAGTACCGTTATCCACGAAAGATAGGAAATTTTACTGGGTGAAAATGTAACACGTAGTAAAAATCAAATCTAAAAAATTTCGAGTAGTTCCTCGCCCCACAAATACCGAACGAGTCGATGCTAATCACGGAATTTTACGTTTTGCAGTTTTGAAATCCTTAGTGGCTTAAAGAATTTCAAGGAATGTTGGTTGAATTAATATTTTATTGATCAAATTAAGAATGGCCCACCCCATTTTTTCGACAATTTGTTTAATAAAACCTCGCTGCGCTCGCATTCTAAAGATTCTATTTTAAAATTTAGTCCGAGCAGTATCCAAGAAAGAGTCTTAGAGGAGTTGTTTGGATTTAATCGTAATAACAAATCTCTAGATATTAAGGAAATACGATTATTTTTAATAACACCTGCACTCAGAATCTCGGCGAAATTGTTTGGGTTTTGTTACTCTAAAAAAAGCAACTGCTAAAATGCGAGCGGAGCGAGCACGTTTAGGATGCTTCAGTAATTGTGTTCACGAACAATCTTTAAATTCACATTTTTAAATAACGACAAATTTTTTCTTAATAATTTAGCTGGTCAGGGACAGCAGTAAATGATTACTTAAATTACACCTGAACGTGCTCGCTGCGCTCGCATTTTACACTTTTTTTCGGCTTTATTCTCATAGAAATGTGCAGGAAATAGTCTCGGCGAAGTTGTTTGGGTTTGATTGCAATGAATAAATCTGTAGATTTTAAGAAAACACAGCCTTGCGAGCGCAGTGAGCATATCCAAGTTGGCAATCACAACTGGTTTAACATTCTAATTTTTTAAATTATTTTTTACTAATTAAACTTCTCATTTACTGCAGTGAATTATTTTTTACAATCATCCCCACCAACAATTTGATGACGTATTTTAAAATGAGTTGAATGTTATGTAGAAATACTTCCACGAACTTGTAGTATACAAATCCGCTTTCAGTTTTTTCGCTTAACATTCAAATCGTCGCAGAAACAATTGCACGGTATGATAACGTTATCTTTGTTTCTTTTTTAATATACAGAGTTCTCTTTCAATAACAGGAAAGTTAAACATGTTTTCAGTTTCTTGTTGGGAAAAGAAGACTTTGTATATTAAGAAAAATGGACAAAATATAAGCCCCGCCCACCCACCCCTTCTCAATTGTAATGAATGTTTTATTCATCATGAGCTGAAGGGCGGAGTTTAGTTTGCAAAATCCTCATTTGTGTACAAGAAATTACCATATGAAATATGTTTTTAAATAAGAATTTTGTAGAGAAATATTGATGTTACAATTAAACTCCGCCCTTCGGTCTGATTAGCAATGATAAATTCATCACAATTGAGATCGGGTGGGTGGGTGGGGCTTAATTTTTTTTGTTTTTTTTTACTATATAAAGTTTTCTTTCAACAACAGGATAGATAAATATGTTCTCAGTTTCTTGTTGGGAAAGGAAAACTTCGTATAATAAGACAAAATTGACAAAATATAAGCCCCGCCCACCCACCCCTTCTCAATTGTAATGAATGTTTTATTCATCATGAGCTGAAGGGCGGAGTTTAGTTTGCCAAATTCTCATTTCTGTACAAGAAATTACCATATGAAATATGTTTTTAAAGGGGTAGAATTTTTTAGAGAAATATTGATGTTACAATTAAACTCCGCCCTTCGGTCTGATTAGCAATGAAAAATTCATCACAATTGAGATCGGGTGGGTGGGTGGGGCTTAATTCTTTTGTGTTTTTTTTTAATATATAAAGTTTTCTTTCGACAACAGGATAGATAAATATGTTCTCAGTTTCTTGTTGGGAAAGGAAAACTTCGTATTATAAGACAAAATTGACAAAATATAAGCCCGCCCACCCACCCCTTCTCAATTGTAATGAATGTTTTATTCATCATGAGCTGAAGCGCGGAGTTTAGTTTGCAAAATTCTCATTTCTGTACAAGAAATTACCATATGAAATATGTTTTTAAAGGGGTAGAATTTTTTAGAGAAATATTGATGTTACAATTAAACTCCGCCCTTCGGTCTGATTAGCAATGATAAATTCATCACAATTGAGATCGGGTGGGTGGGTGGGGCTTAATTTTTTTTGTTTTTTTTTAATATATAAAGTTTTCTTTCAACAACAGAATAGATAAATATGTTCTCAGTTTCTTGTTTGAAAGGAAAACTTCGTATAATAAGACAAAATTGACAAAATATAAGCCCCGCCCACCCACCCCTTCTCAATTGTAATGAATGTTTTATTCATCATGAGCTGAAGGGCGGAGTTTAGTTTGCCAAATTCTCATTTCTGTACAAGAAATTACCATATGAAATATGTTTTTAAAGGGGTAGAATTTTTTAGAGAAATATTGATGTTACAATTAAACTCCGCCCTTCGGTCTGATTAGCAATGAAAAATTCATCACAAATGAGATCGGATGGGTGGGTGGGGCTTAATTTTGTTTGTTTTTTTTTTAATATATAAAGTTTTCTTTCAACAACAGAATAGATAAATATATTCTCAGTTTCTTATTGGGAAAGGAAAACTTCGTATAATAAGACAAAATTGACAAAATATAAGCCCCGCCCACCCACCCCTTCTCAATTGTAATGAATCTTTCATTCATCATGAGCTGAAGGGCGGAGTTTAGTTTGCAAAATCCTCATTTGTGTACAAGAAATTACCATATGAAATATGTTTTTAAATAAGAATTTTGTAGAGAAATATTGATGTTACAATTAAACTCCGCCCTTCGGTCTGATTAGCAATGATAAATTCATCACAATTGAGATCGGGTGGGTGGGTGGGGCTTAATTTTTTTTGTTTTTTTATACTATATAAAGTTTTCTTTCAACAACAGGATAGATAAATATGTTCTCAGTTTCTTGTTGGGAAAGGAAAACTTCGTATAATAAGACAAAATTGACAAAATATAAGCCCCGCCCACCCACCCCTTCTCAATTGTAATGAATGTTTTATTCGTCATGAGCTGAAGGGCGGAGTTTAGTTTGCCAAATTCTCATTTCTGTACAAGAAATTACCATATGAAATATGTTTTTAAAGGGGTAGAATTTTTTAGAGAAATATTGATGTTACAATTAAACTCCGCCCTTCGGTCTGATTAGCAATGAAAAATTCATCACAATTGAGATCGGGTGGGTGGGTGGGGCTTAATTCTTTTTTGTTTTTTTTTAATATATAAAGTTTTCTTTCAACAACAGGATAGATAAATATGTTCTCAGTTTCTTGTTGGGAAAGGAAAACTTCGTATAATAAGACAAAATTGACAAAACATAAGCCCCGCCCACCCACCCCTTCTCAATTGTAATGAATGTTTTATTCGTCATGAGCTGAAGGGCGGAGTTTAGTTTGCCAAATTCTCATTTCTGTACAAGAAATTACCATATGAAATATGTTTTTAAAGGGGTAGAATTTTTTAGAGAAATATTGATATTACAATTAAACTCCGCCCTTTGGTCTGATTAGCAATGAAAAATTCATCACAATTGAGATCGGGCGGGTGGGTGGGGCTTAATTTTTGTTTGTTTTTTTTTTAAATATATAAAGTTTTTTTTCAACAACAGGGCAGATAAATATGTTCTCAGTTTCTTGTTGGGAAAAGAAAACTTCGTATAATAAGACAAAATTGACAAAATATAAGCCCCGCCCACCCACCCCTTCTAAATTGGAAAGAACGCTTTATTCACCGTGAGCTGAAGGGCGGAGTTTAGTTTGCAAAATCCTCATTTCTCTTCAAGAAATTATCAAGTGAAATATGTTTTTAAAAGTGTAGAATTTTTTATAGAAATATTGATGTTACAATAACTAAGCGGAGAGAGAGTACGTAGTTTTCTTTCAACAATTTTTTGGCGCAAGGAATAAGATATATTACAAGAAAAAACATAAATATTCAATAATTGTGGACTGTGGCCCTAATGTAAATCACGTAGAATAACTTGTATTTTCTCGTTTTTTTTCGAAAAACTGAAGAAATGAAAAACTGAAAAATCTAAAAATCGAAAACTCGTGAAACTTCAAATCGAAAAACAGCCAAATCTAAAACTTTAATTAGTGACGATAGGAAAATTGAAGAAAGAAAACTTGAAAAATTACAAACCGAAAAATTAAAAAAAATTAAACTGAAAAAACAAAAAATTATAAAATCG